TCTTGGACACATCCAAGACATTTTTCTTCCTGTTCAACAGTTCCAACACCATTAGCTATCGTAGGAGGGAAAGAGAGAAAGTTGATATAAAAGCATAGGTTTTCTTCTACTACATATTTCTTTCTTTAATTACGTAAGGCCATAGAAGGCCAAGTCACAATGACAGTTACCTAAATTTCTGACCAAAGGTGACTGCTGATAGGACTATTATATTCAATATGATACAAAAAGAAACAACGAACCAAGGTTTAAATCAACTGTCAAAGTTACATAAAACAGACCCTACTGGATCTTAGCCTAATATCAAGTGAAATACTGTTTGTTTCATTCTGAGGAGAATGTATTAAAAATAGACAAGTGAAAAAAATAAAATATAATAGACACCAAGTAACAGTTATAGAAAAAAAAGAAAAGGGAAGAAGAGACACCTAAAAATACCAAACTCATGATTAAAAGCAAAAACACATTTTTCACAAGCTGTTTCGAGTAATTGATTAAAGTATTTATCAGGTTCATATCTACAAAGATTAATAGGATTGGTATTAAAAAATAAAAAGCTTATGCAGTCTTTCAAAACTGTGGCTGCTCATTTTGACTGGCTGCCCATTATGTTCTGTATTCCTCCAACAAGCCATGCCTATCAACTGCTTCAACAAGAGCCACCACAACTAATAAAAATTACTTCAGCGGTGTTTTGTTTCTCCATATGAAACAATGATGTCCAAAATGCTGAAATTTCACTACACTTCTCAGGTAAAATAATATCTAAATAAGTTCCTTAATGATTCCAAAGGTTCCTAGTAAAAAAATCTTTTTAAAAATAAGCACTGAAGTCCAGAATGACTAGATTATCTGATGGCTACCTACAAAATAAACACAATTTATTCATGCTCTTCCTCAAAATTTCATATTTAAACTAAAGCACAAAACTCATAATACAGAGCTTGGCAAAGTATGGATTACATATGACTTTTCCACTCTCTTCATTCCTGCAAATATTTCCTCCTCCAAGCTACCCAAGTAATGAACAGCTCTTCACTTTAAGCTCAATTCAGGCATGTATTTGTAAAATCAGCATGACAGGCGGTTCTTCCTCTTTTTCTCCTTCACAACCTTCCCGACACGCGCATGCGTGTACACCCAGAAGCTGCGTACTGGAAGGCAGAAGAGAGTCCTCAGCAAGCTGTTGTAAAACAGACATGTTAAACCAGATATACCAGATAAGCACCAACTCTGTCCTCAGCAGCACAGCATTTCGACAGAAATACAAATACCAGATTTGGTTAAATGTAACTGATTTGTGCTTATAAACATCCAGATGGTACATGACTAAACAAATTGCACATATTTTCTGAAGAAAAATGACCTTGATATCCAAGTTAAAAAATTAAGCACTTTATTTATGCTTCTCAAAGCACAAAACAAACTCATGACAGCTTCAAGTAGAGACCTGTATCTCATATTTAGGAGATTGTCAGACACATACAATACATGCACGTATCGAACGGCCACACTCCAAGGCACAAGCAAGGAGCACATCCCAAATCTCAAGAAAACACACAAAGATGGCGTCCTGGTTGCTTATATCTCAAATTAACTCTTTTGTCTGGTATGATTTAAAGTTGCCTTTTTGTATCTTAGGCTGAGAGAAAACGATTCAATAATGGAGATCAATAGAGCCCGGGTCGTGGAAGCCATGCCCTGTTCAGCTGGTTATGCGTGTCTCTATTTCAGCTGTACAAGAGGTTAAACATGGGCATCCCAATTCCACAGAAATTCACCTTGACCTGAGATGACCTTCTCACTCTGGCCTACAAATTTCAGGGGCTATTTTATGTACATGATATTGCACACAGCAGCTGGACCAAGATATGTGTCAGAGAGGAATACCTAAAAAAAAATAAAAAATAATAAACTTGAGAGAAGTCACTTGTACCCATTTTATCTCCTTATTCTCCCTCTTTATTCTCCCTGCCAAAAGAAAAACAGTTGGGGTTTGAACAGCATACGCTAGCCTCATAGCTTTTATAGAGTCATAGTTAAGTTTTTACTGATTTCACAGAAAGCAAAAAAAACAGTTCTAAGAATAAAATGAAATATGAGAATAAGAAGCATTAAGTAGTTTGCACAACAAGCCTTCTCCTATTAGTAGCATAGGGAGTATATCAGTGAAAAAATACCCTGGAAGTCCTCCCTTTTTTCTGAATTGAAAAATCACAGAATCCTATCAAGCCCTAAAACTGATCGTGTACCCTACTCCCCTCTTTTTCTTCACAGCAAGCATTGCAAAGTTTAAAAAGCCAGATTTGCAGTTCCTCCCTCATTATACTCCCCTGGATGCCCGTCCTTTCCGCTGAATGGACAAGCAGCTTGTCATAGCATAGAAAAAGAGAATAGGATCACGCAAGCAGAGACCAAACCACAGGACACACGCATAAGAACCAAATTAAGAAAAGCAAAGTGACAGGTAATTTGAGATCCGGATGCTGTCACTGAGTAACACGAGCATTAAGATGATATGAGGAAGAAGGTGCCGAGATGTGAAGAAGACATCTCTGCAGTAACGTACACCCCCTTAGAGAGAATGTCAGTCCCCTTCTGTGCTTCTTCCCATCAAGACTGGAACTCTGCACCTTCAGCTTTGCAACATGCCCAAACTACAATGCTTAACCATGTTAACTGGCAAGAAAAAACAAACAAACAAAAAGCCTTACTGAGGAACAGACAAACTGGGGGCAAACGCTGCAGTAAGGTCTGTCCAAGGATCCAGCCCAACTCACAAAGTTCCACCTGTCTTGGTATACTCCTGGTTCAGAGTGTGCCATGAAGAGCCAGAAGCAAAGAAACAAACCAAATGGTGAAGTTGCTGAGGCAACTTTCTCTTGGGAAAGCAGTAACTACAAGGGCTGGGCCAAATTCGGCAGTCACACTGTAACCCCTTCAGGAGCCAAATAACTCATTTCCAGGTTTTCAGCGTAATATCATTGCCACTGTTGCTTTTACAGGGGTCTGGACTTTCTCGGTGTTCTAGCAATTACTCTTCTGCACAACGCGAGTGACAGAGGGGAAATGATGATTTTCAAATGTTTACATCTTGGGAAAACTTAAACAATTTCATGGGGCAAAGAAATCAAAACACTTATTTAGCCTAAGGACTCTTTCTCTTGCCAAACTTCAATGGCTTTTGCAAACAATAGGGCTTCTCAAAGAGGTCATACAAATTCTTTATAATGGAAACTATTAGGCAACCTAAATATAGAGTTTGTTACCAGAGCCCTCTATAACGCAGGACGTTAAGGTTCTATGCAGCTCTCCTTACTCATACATCTAATGAACTTCAGCAGGAGATTTGTCCAAGTAAGGAATGATTATTACAGCCCTAGGTTCCTTACATTTGTACAACATCTTTCATCTAGAAAGACTTCAAAATGTTTTAAAGGTCATGTATAGAAAATTACTATATTCAGCACAGTCTCCTATCAAGAGGAACCTAGTAATTTATCAGTACCCAAGCAACAATACAGAACAATTTTAGGTTAGAAAGTAAATAAGAAAGCCATGTCTACAGGCAGAATTTAGATCCTCGGTGACATTACCAAGTTAAAGTCTGGCAACAGCTCTACAGGAGAAGGTACAGGGATTTCCAGCTGGCAGACAGGATCTCGGTTTCACGTCTGACTCATAGCACATCTAACTGGCACCACACTGGGGCACTGGTTTGGTCCTAACCCAAAGAAAAGAGTGCCACCTTGGGAGCCAGTTACACCGCTTCCTGCAGCATCCAGGATGTCCCTATCCATCAGGAGTCCCCTATCCAAGCACGCCCAGATTTAACCATTCAAGGTGACACTTCCAAAGAAAAAGCTAAGTTAAGTCCGTGACAAAATCTGTTCCAAACACGCAGTTTAAGAGTATATTAAAATATGATCAAGAAGTCATAAGAATTATTTCCACTAATCTTAACAGTACCGCCAGTTTTAAAGATCGTAATCCATATCTAGCCCTTAGCATAATAACTAATTCTTTTGGAGACAAGAAATTATTCAAGAGTGAAAACACACTCACACCTTACCTAAAAATGTTTCTGTAAAGTTATTTGTACACGATTAATATACAAAATACAACTGTTTCAGTCAACCTAATTTCCAGTGGTCTTCAAAAACATTACACTTCACTGTGATTGCCTGTTTTTCCATCTACAAATCTGTTTATATTTAGTGAGTTTTAACACTCAGAAGCAGACCTTAAACAGTCTATCACAAAGAAACAGATTTCTCTGAACTGAAAACCACTGATTTACAATGTCTTGTACACCTAAGTGTCATTAACTAAAAGAAAAAGAACTCAGCACACTAATAATTGTGCTAAAGCATCAGCTTAATATGTATAGATATTACGATTCAAAATGGAAGACTGAAAAAAAAAAAAAGCATTAACAGCATCACCCAAACTCCATAGCACTGTTATTCTGAACAACACTGTGAAAAACATTTTGTTGCATAGGTGGCATGAGCAAATGTTTTAACAAGGCTCTGCTTTGGTGTCTTGTACTTCAGCTCCTTTAAAAAAAAAAAAAAATCCACCCAAATGGCCTTTTGTGTCTCTTTGGCACCCTAATGACTCTCTCCATAGACACAAAGGTCTACTTACTAGCTCAAATCTAATTTCAGAATCGTGGCCTAAAATTGCCTGGTCTGAAAGCCCAACCCGTATTTATCTCACGCCATGTATAAACCCTGGGCTTCACATGCATGTGTAAGTGCGACCCATTTAAACTGTACGGGAAAGAAATCCATAAACCTAGTCAGCTATACATTGTTTCAGAGTTTAAGTAGATACACTGATTTTTGTTTCTCAACTAAAACTCTAGGTAGCAGAATACTATGGGGGAGCAAGTGGTAAATGGGGGAAAAAAAAAAAAAAAGCTCTTAAAACAGTCAAAAACTGTGAAATATTCAAGGGAGGAAAACAAACAAACAAACTCACTCAGTGCTAAGCAGTCCTTAGAAACCAGTATTATTTTTTACACACTTTTTTTTGTTTAGTTTCAGTGCTTTTATCCAACAGAGTTTCCAGTGCAACAAAACATCATTTTAAATTGACTTCACCTATCAAGCTGTCTAGAGGCTAAGGAAGGCTGTAACGTTCATTTGTGCTGTTTCAAAGAGCTTGCGTTCATTCTCTCAGCAATATTATTTCGCTGAATATTACCACTCTGAACACATTTATCTGTGACACGAGCACAACACCATTCTTGTCACAGGAAGCCACGCTATACGTGACAGATGCAATTTCTCTCAGCACGTTCACCTCACCGATTTCTTTATTTAAAAATAGCAATATTAAAACCTGAAGTTAGGGGAAGGACTTCCAATATTCATTCGAGTTTGCAGAAGTCCAGGAAATCAACTTCACGAACCTTTTCTGTCAAGTAATCTGACCCAGCCTTGCACTTAGGATTTCCAACACGTAACATTGCAAACACGTAACGTTTGCAGCAAGTCGCATTCAGTACTGCTTTGAATGGTATCTGGAATGTAATTGCTGCTTATGATAGGATTGCAACTTTTATTGCCACTTAAACTTCCCTCGCTGACGGGGTTAGCTAATAGGTATGATAATGGTAACAAAGGATTCGTGAATAATATTCTCTCTGCTTAGCACGCTACGGCTACAAGTGCAGTCCTGTTGGTTTTATGAAAGCCTCCGTTCCCCAGGCGTGCATGTTTAGGCCGTAACAGGGAACAACACATCAGAGGGATGCAGGAGCCAGGTAATTCACCGCAAGCTTTCTGACGGGTTCCCGGAGAAAAGGTTCTCCTGGGACGTCACTGCCTCGCAGGGTGCCGCTTCCACAGGGTGCCAGGCAGCCGATGCCTCCCCGGTGGGAGGACAGGAGGACAGCGATCGCCTGCCCCTGCGGATGCTCTGGGGCAGCACGGCTCTGCGACGGAGAGCGAGTTCAAACAATAAAATAGAGAGAGGAGAGGAGGGGAGGGGAGGGAAGGAGGGGGGGGAAGGTATTGGTGAGGAGAAGTTAAACTCACGGAAAAAGGAGCCAAGGGCTGAGGGCGAGCATCTCGGCGGCCAGGCTGCGGGGAGGGCTGCGGGGGGGGCTGCTCGTCTCCGGCCGGGGCACGGCCTCTGCGGGGTCAGCCTCGCCCGGGGCTCGCCCTGCGGTGCCCGCAGAGGCAGGCAGGGAGCTGGGGGGGCTGCGGGGCCGGCTGGGGACCCCCATCCCGGCGTCCTCATCCCCCCCCACCCCTCCCCCGGGATCCCAGCCCCCCGCTGCCCCCGGCGGGGCCTTCCCCCGGCACTCACCGTGTGGAGGTGCCCTTCCTCACGTCGCACATCATGCACTTGAAGGCCTCGGCGCTGTTGCGGAAGGTGCAGACGCTGCAGTCCCAGTAGCCCTCGTCCGAGGAGGGTTTCGGCTGCCGCTTCGGCCTGCGGGGGGGACACGGGCGGGCAGCGGGGGGCAGGCGGCCGGGGGGGGCCCCGGGCTGGCCGCCCTCACGCCGCCGCCCCCCTGCTCCCCCCCAGCCCTCCCCGGGCGCCATCGCCGCCGGGCCCCGGCGAGGAGGAGGAGGAGGGGGAGGAGGAGGAGGAAGAGGAGGAGGAGGAGGCGGAGGAAGGCAGTGCCCCTACCCTTCTCCCTACCCCTACCCTACCTGGTCGGGCTCTTCTTGTCTCCCATGCCGGCTCCAGACGCGCTGCCCAGCCCGGCCCCGGCGCGGCCCTTTGTGTATTTGTCAACACGGAGCAGCGCGGGCGGGGGGCTCGCAGCCTCGAACGGGGACCCGGGGAGGAGGAGCCGGCGCCGCAACCCCCAGCTGTCGGGGAAACTCCTGCCGCCGCCGCCGCCGCGCTGCCCCCTCCTCCTCCCTCCCTCACCTCCCTCCCTCCCTCACGTGTCCCCCCGCCGCCAACCAGCGGCCGCCCGCAGGCCGCCGAGCCCGGCGGGCCCCGCTCCGCCGCTGCCGGCTGCGGGGCAGGCTCGGGGCGCTGCGGGGACGGGCCCGGAGGGGGAAGGAGGAGAAGGGGAAGGGGAAGGGAGGGAGGGAGGGAGGGAGGGAGGAGCGCGGAGCCGCGGCCATTGTGCCCCGAGGCCGAGCCTGAGCCCTCCGTGGGGAGGGCGGGGGTGCGGGGTGCGGGCCTGCCCGCTCAGCCCCTGGCAGGGGGCTGGGGGCTGCGGCTGGGAGCGCCTGGGGGGCCCCGAGCCGTGCCCGGGGGCTGCGGGCCGCGCCTGGGGACACCCAGCGCCTGGCGGGGGGCAGCGTGTCCCCAGCCTCCTCCTGAGGAGCCGCGGCCGGCAGAGGGGTGCGGGTGTCGGGCAGCGCCCACGGGCACCGCTCCGGCTCGGGGCTCGTCTCATCCCTGCCGGCATGGCACCAGGCGGCTGGTACCTGTGTTGTCTCCCTGCACGGCAGCCCCAGTCACAGGCTAGGATGCCATTTTGCAGGATGCTGTGCAAACAGAACAAAGAGCGCACGTCCTGAGCGCGGCACAGCAGCCAGCGCTTGGGGACAGGTAGACGGCAGGGAGCGAGCAGACAATGAGGTGGTGGTGGTCAGCATCGGGCTGGGCAAAACCGTCTTTGCTGCGTTGCCTTTGTCCAAAAAGGACGGGATTTGGAGAGCAAAATATGCCCAAGGGGAGCTTCACCCGAGTGTGTGGATGAGCGTAACTGAAGACGTTGACATTCCTGAAAATTCAGCAAGTGAACAACGGATAAACTTTCCGTTTCTGAAAGCCAACTTGTCAAAGAATTTCAGCTAGAAATATTGGGATATGATGAAGAAAAGAAAAATGTGGGTAAAGCCTTTGACATCTTCTTATGGAAGCAAGGAATGATCTATTACTTGGAGCATTTACATTTTTACAAAAGAACTATAATAAAAAATACTTTGCAGGATTCACTGCTTCTGTGCCTTCCTAGTAATCCTGTACACCAGCAGTTTGAAGCCTGTGTAGTATTTCACACATGAATTTGATCATTTATCCTAATTTCCTTCTGCATTTACATCCTGTTACTAGTATCGTCATTTTCCCCACTTTCTGATCTTTTCTTTCTTTATCTGCCTTGCCTTTCCCTTTCTTTCTCTATTGCAATTTATTTCTTCTATTTTTATGCTACTCACAGAGGCTAGCATAAATTACAAATAAAATGTATGGGTTGCACATCTGGGGATGGTCCAAGCCTGGCACAGACAGCTGGCCTGGATTAATTTGCATGTAGTTAGACCTTGTGGTGGATTTACCCAGCTGGGCAGCTGAACTCCACCGCAACTGCTGTCTCACTCCCCCTCCTCAAAGGGAAAGGGAGAGAAAATATGATGAAAGGAGCTCAAGGGTTGAGATAAGGACAGGGAGATCACTCAACAATTATTGTCATGGGCAAAATAGACTCAACATAGGGAGGTTAATATAAATTATTGCCTATCACAAACAACAGTGAGGAACAAAATGAACTGAGAACACCTTCCCCCCCATCCTCCATCTTCTACCTCCTCACCATTGCCAAGTGGCGCAGGTGAATGAGACAGGCAATGGGGGCTGCAATCAGCCCCTGACACTTCATCTCTGCCACTCCTTCACAGTCCCTCTCTGCCCCTGCTCCCCGTGGGGTCCTTCCCGAACTGAGCCTGTGGGGGCTGCCCACAGGCCCACAGGCAGCAGCTCTTCAAGAACTGCTCCCACACAGCTCCGTACCATGGGCTCCATCCCCCAGGAGCAAACTCCTCCAGCACGGGTCCCCCACGGGTGACAGCTCCCCCCAGACCCCCTGTTCCTGCGTGGGCTCCTCTCCACAGGCTGCAGCTCCGGCCCGGGGCCTTCTCCTGCAGGGGCTCTCCATGGGCCGCAGCCTCCTCCAAGCCACATCCACCTGCTCCACCGGGGGTTCCTCCACCCATGGGGGGGCTGCAGCGTGGAGATCTGCTCCATGCGGGACCCATGGGCTGCAGGGGGACAGCCTGCTCCACCAGGGGCCTCTCCACAGGCCGCAGGGGAACTGCTGCTGTGTGCCTGGAGCACCTCCTGCCCTCCTGCTGCACTGCCCTGGGGGGCTGCAGGGCTGCTTCTCTCACATTTTCTCACTCCTCTTTCTTCAATCTGCTCTCCCAGAGGCCCACCCAGTGTCACTCACTGGCTCAGCTCTGGCCAGTGTCAGGTCCCTTTTGGAGCCATCTGGAGCTGGCTCTGATCTGACCTGGGGCAACTGCTGGGCTCTGCTCACAGAGGCCACCCCTGCAACCCCCTGATACCAAAATCTCGCCACATAAGTCCAGTTCAGATGCCTACATGAACTAGACACCCAGACCCAAACCCTTGCAGGAAGAAACAAGCTCCTCCAGAAGCTGATTCATCTGATGCTAAGACAGGATTTCCATGCCTATGGGGTCCATTTTTCTCCATTGACTATAAAGAGAGCTTTGCATGAATAGTCCAGAGCGAAACATCTACCCTATAAAATTATACAAATGAGAGAACTCTCATTCTTGCTTGAATCTCTCCCCATATAGATATCTCCTGACAGGAAGCAGTAGAGAAACCTGTCTCCTTGTGTCCTTTTACACAGTGCATTCTCCCTACCATATGAAAAAAATAGAAATAAAAATAAATTATTTCCCCACTTTCGGAAAGCAGTGATTTTGAAACAAGCTCTTTCTCTTGACCTTTCCTCTGTCGCAGCATACTGTTTCCATACCGATTATGAGAAACAATACAGAACTGCCACTGATGGTTACAAAACACTGGGATGTGTTGTAATCCCACAGGAGCTATTCTTGGAGAGAAGCGTTCCTAGCCAGCAGGGAGAATCACAACTGCCAGCCACAAATGTTATTCCTAACAGCCGAGTAATCTTTCCAGTTGTCATGTTCCAGCCCTTCTGCTGCATGGACATCACCCAAACCACTGTGCTTAAAGATTGTGATGTTTTCCCAGCAGCATTTGGCCTCTTTCCCACTGAACTCCCAGCTAATGCCTGTTTTGGGAGCTCCAAGGTGATTCAGGTTGGGACGTTCAAAAGTTTAAGTGGTTGGGTCATGGTGCCCTCTCTGTGCAAGGATGAGTCTTATTCTTGGAACATACTTAAGAGGAAAGAAAGGCCATTTTTCTCATAACTTCTCTCTACAAATAGGAGCATGAGAAAACACCAGTAAAAGCTCCAAGCTGTCCCAAATCATTTCTACAACTGAAATGGTGGTGGTTTGTCATGGGACCAAGGGGGAGGGGTAGTTGCTACGTGTAGTGTTCTTCTGTTCACAAGAAAGCCAGACTAAACAGCTCCAAGCAAATCCTGAATTTAGTAACAGAATTTTACCCTAGAATGGACAAAAATGTACCACAGTAGCAGCAAGTCTGGGTGAGAGTACCTCTGGGTACTAAGAACTCAGAGTACTGGGTTTCTTTCTTCTCTCAAAATACTGACCTTTGTCCACCTTTCATTTCTGAGAGAGCCGATTGGAACCAATGACTCCATTTTCAGTAATACCTGTTCTAGTGATAACGCAGAAAACCACATGTCAGAGGTGTGTATAATACTCAAATGCTTAACCCAGAAAGTATTTCACAGGGACAGTAATGTTAGGAGGACTTTGCTACAACCTGACAAAGCTGAGAATTCCTTAACCAGACAGTACGTCATTCAGTCATAGCTATATGAACCCAGAAAACTTATCTGTCTTCTGTTAAATATGTGTGCAGCACATTACTGCACTGATAGGTGGTTTGGATGACAGAACTGATGGAGTCAGTACTAGCAGTCTTCAGAAATGTTCCAGGGAAAGAAAGTATGAGTGAATCTTAAGTTCCCTTAGTTTTAAGATTGGTATTTATTGTTTATAAATAGTTATTTATTGGTATTTATTGTTTATAAATAGGGTTGTACCTGAATAGTCATTTGCACTCTATTTTAATTCAGATCACCTAAAGTAAACTCATCTTTAAGACCGAAGGCATGTGCAATATATTTTACATCTTTGTACATCAGGCTCTCTTGCTCTCTAGCTGGGGTTAAGTCTCTTAAAACTGACTTACTTATAGCATTATATTAGGGAAACACAGTGTGATTATGATATCGAATATGATATTATGCTGATTGCTTTGGGGAAGTTAAAGATCTAATAATATTTTCAATATTTTATAGTATACATGTTCTGGCATGCATGACTTCTCAGTTTAAAGTTTCTTCATATAAAGAGGATGTAAAAGGGGATACCAGCTATTTCAAAGTATCTTTTCTGTGTGAAAATTCTTACTGCAGAAAGGATTCCTGTTGCTCCTAAGCAAAATGTTCACACGTGGGGTTATTTAACAACAGGCCATTGCTGTGTAAACCTGTATGAAGACTTGCCATTTAGTCAATACTTAACCAGTGCAGACCACATTACACCTATGCCAGTTGCTGCTTTTCCAGTATCTTGATCAATTATATAATCACTTCATCACTCCTTGAGTTTAGAAATAAAAATAATTAAAAAAAAAAACAAAAACAAACTCTCCATAGAGATTATTATTATAGTATGGATAAGCTGGATAAGCCACTTTTTAATCACTATTTATACTGAGGAAAATTACCTAAATATAATATTGACTGGAGCAAATGCCACTTTGTTCCAGAGCAGTATCTCTGTTTTGCTGGGGTTGTACTGATATAATAACATCAACACGATTCATTCATGGGACTTCGCCTGGCGAGTTTTTTTAACCTGCTTGGTATAATGAGATCTGAATCCTGTCTGGGCTTCGATGTGCTCCTGCACTGCAAGACAAGTATTTCAGAGCTTTTGAAACGTGGAAGGTAAGTAGCTCTTGTAACTGCAGCGTTCTCTCAGAGCCTGTAACAGAGGCAGTAAGATTGGTGGCAGTGAGAACTGCCCCTCCGTGTTAACC